ATTGTCCTTCAATCTTAACGCTAGGAGCCTGGTGGCATCCTGCTCCTACATTAAAGACCATGCAAGAATGACATCCCTCCATCATTCCTTTGGACTAACTTCCTCTAAAAAGCTTCATTCATCTCTAAAACAGTATTCCAGATCTTGCTAGTAGGGGAAGTGCCAAGATTCAATCCCAAATTGGTCTTCCTCTAAAGACTTACATTCTACTATGAAATACAGAAATGCACAGAATCAAATAGAATTTTCAGGTCATTTGCTTATATGCCATCAGGGGAGTTCTGATTCATGGTGACCCTATGTATAACTGAATGCAATACTGTCCAGTCCTGTGCCATTCTCAGAATGATTTTGTTTGAGCCAACGATTGCAGCTATGGTGTCAAACCTCTTTTACACTGGCCCTATACTTAAACAAGCATGGTCTTCTTGCCTCTCCTGATTACATGTCAAAGCAAGCTAGACGTGCAAGTCAGAAACCCACAGGGGCAGAAAACTACCCTATAGGGTTACTATGAGTCAGCATTGACTCAATAGGAGTATATTTACATTTTTGCTTTGTTTTGTATTTTGGTTTGGTTTGTGTGTGTGCGTGTCTGTGTGTGATCCTATAAAATTCTTGGGCAATTTCCTCCACCACTAATTAGCTTTGTCATTTTGCCACAACTGCTTCATCATTCCTTTTCTGAAAGATGAGATTAATCATTACCACTGTAGTTTGGCCAAGATCAAGTGAGGCCAAAGGTGAAAGGAGGTGGTGAATAAGGCAAGCAGTGTTGGGACTCTCTGAGCCAAGAGCCTTCCTCTCACACACCCCTGTGCACCAGTCCCCTCTATTGGGGTGAATGTGGGCACAAAGAGCCCATTCAGTCCTCAGAGACTTGTTCAGTGGCTGCACACCAGGCCCCAGAAAACAAAGTTCCTTTCTTATTGCTGTACTAAATCTTACTCACAGAACATTTGAGAGAGGACTAGAAGACACTGCCTTTATAGTTGGAGAAATGAGGCTCAGAAGAAGTGAAACAAGTTACCCAGTAGTTGCTATTTTTGTTGTTGAAAAGGGTATTTGCTATGAACAAGTCATTGTTTTTGCAAAATTCTGTCATGCAATCTCCAGCTTCATATCTACCACCAAATCCATAATTTTCAACTACTTATATTTTGGTCTCAAGAGATTTGTCTTCAAGATCACTGATGTGTATATTCATGTTTTCAATTATTCTCTTTTGTTCCTTCAAAATGTTATCCAGTCCTGATATCTCAGTGCTTGCCTTTTCCTCAAGAGCAGTCAGGGTGCAGTATAACACCGATGAAACATACAACTTTCCTCTAGTTTTCAATGCTTCCCCCACCCCCCATCATGATCCCAATTGTACCTTACAAATCCAGCTAGACCAGAGGATGTTCACTGGTACAGATAAGAGCTGGAAACACAGGGAATCCAGGACAGATAAACCACTCAGGACCAATAATGAGAGTAACGATGCCAGGAGGGTAAGGG